TTTTTTTTTTTTTTTTTTTTTTTTTTTTTTAAGTTGGACTCGTTCCAATTTAAGTTCCATCTTGATTTGGATTATAAACGTTATCAATTATTTTAATTACTATTATTCAATAGTAAATGAATTTTACGCAGAGAGATTGCGGAAAAACGAATATCCGCATAGGATCGATAAAAAGATAAAAGGAAAATAAAAGAAAGAAAGAAAGTAAGAAGAAATTTCTCGTAATATAATTTTCAAAATACTTTTGAATAAAAATAAAATAAGAAAAAATAATAATATCGAAGTATGCCTGACGATGAATGAATTTTTAACATTGTATGATGATCATAAAAATACACAAAAAAATACGCAATGAGTAATTAAACAATTAACATTATTTTCTGTAAAAGTATTACAGTAATCATCAAAAAAAAAAAATAAGAAAAAAAAATCATATCGAAGTAAGTCTGACGATGAACGAATATTTAACATACTATGACGATCATAAAAATATAAAAAATAATACTCAATAAGTATTTAACCAATTAACATTATTTTCTGTAAAAGTAGTAACCAGCAAAAACAAAATAAAATATACAAAATAATAATATTAAAATAATTGTGACGATGAATGAACTTTTGACATAGTACAATGATCATAAAAGTATGTAAAAAATACACAATGAGTAATTAACCAATAAACATTATTTTCTATAAAGGAATTATAGTAACCAGCAAAAACAAAATAAGATTTAGTAAGTCTGACGATGAATGAGTTTTTGACATAGGATGTTGTTCATTCTTATCATTAAAAATACTCAATGAGTAATAAACCATTATTTTCTCTAAAATTATTATAGTAATCACGAACCATACTACCCTCTTTCATTGATGATGAATAAACAGAATTATTACAAACTATTAGGTATAAATTAAAACCCTTTTGTAACTTTTCATCATCTCTCTCTCTCTCTCTCTTTCTCTCATCCTTGACCAATACAAGCAACAAATAAACGAACGAACGAACCAACCAACCAACCAACGATAAAATAAACGGTAGCTCTGTGATAGATCACATACACACAAATACACAAATACATACATAAATACACATACATAGAAAGGTTGGCCCGTTTACTGGCACGTAACGAAGATGGTCACGCGAGCTCCAGGAGTTCGTGCATAATGACCGTGATCTACGAGGCCGTGTATATAGCAACGAGAGCAATACCAACTACCAAGTCACTTGTAGGTTGGTAACAACGACAAAGACAACCGATGAACCAACCAACCAACCAACCAACCAACGAACAAACCTTGCCTGCCTTCCATTATTCGAACGGAACGAACCGCAATCAAGAGAAAAAGAGATGGCCCCGAGGCGTGTCGGCCTCGAGACATCGATGCTGAACTCGATCGTCTAATGGGGTGGGAGGTGGGGGTGGGGACCTATTCGAATTATCATTCGCTCTTGAAATTGACATAGGAAAATTTCTATATGATTTTTACTACTTCCTTCTTCATATCTTTTTATTGTTTTTTTTTTTTTTTTATACAGTGATTAGGATAAATGTTACCTGATTTAGGTGATAATCAAGTGATATTAAACATTCTATTTAATTTTTATTTATTAGTCATATATATATGAGTAATCGAAAAAATAAAAACAAAATAAAATAGAAAACAATAACTCTATATTTGTCCAAAAAAAAATTTTGTATTCCAATTGAGGATTAGGGGGGTGTAACTCAAAATAAAACTTTACCTAAGAAGAAAAACTCCTGGAGCACTCTTCACAGTGTGTATGTGTGTGTGTTATGTGGGATAGTATATATTTTTTTCCCTACTCGTTCGTAAAACATCCGTTTACATAGGTTTCGATCGAAAAATTAAAGGTCGACGTTGACGTAAGGAAACTTCGTGTTTCGTGTTACTTTTCCTTTTGTTTTTTTTTTTTTATTGTTAAAAGTGTAGGAGGATGAGAATAGATGAAAGGGTGGGGGAGAATGGGAAAGTTAGCCCTTCGAGCAATTCGTAACATTTTTTTTTAGTAGAGAGTGTGTCTGTGTGTGTGTGTATGTGTGTGTGTAGTATCATCGTTGATTGAAGAAGTATGTCAGTGAGCGGATTTTAATCAAAAGGTGAAATCAAAAGAAGAACCTGCGTTGCTGCGTTGCTGTTTGGTGCCGATTGTAAGAAGAAAAGATAGAAAAAAAGATAGAAAAGAGATAACTGTGCAAAGTGAAAAGATCGAAACTATTTTTCTTTTTCTTTTTTGGTTATCGATGAGCAAGGAACGTTTATTCTACTACTACTACTACTACTACTACTATTACTTCCTGTTGCTTAACATTTTCATGAAAACGATCGTAACCATTAACGGAAGAAGAAGGTGAAATTGCAAGAAAGAGAATAAAAACCTGAAAGAAAGAAATATGAAAGAGATGAAAGAGAAAATGATAGTGGAAATAGCAAAAGCTTCAGAACTGTAAAACACGCGTGTGAGTATTGTGTGTGTTTGTGTATAGTATATGAGCGCGCTTACGCGCGTGTTCCGTGTATTCGTCCTGGTGCTACTACCACTACTACAATCTGAATCTTTGTATATAGATGTGTAATGATTCAGCCTAAGGGAGAAAAAAATATTTCGGAGATCGAAGAACCACCAGTTTTTTTCTATCGCACGGTTCTATTTTATCCAAGAGCTTTTCGTTGAAAAAATTTTCAAAAGGAAAGAAGGAAAGGAAAGAGAACTCTTTTTCTTTTTTATTTCCTTATCTTTTTATCTACTTCTATATATATCTCTCTTTCTCTTTTAACCGATAAATCAGAATATCATCGAAGAAGGTTTCTTCTTCTTCTTCTTCTACGAAAGTACTCGAAGAAGATTAGTAATACGATCCGTGATAAAGAAATAAACGAGAATAAGAATAATAATAATAATAATAATAATAAAAAAAGGAAGATAAAAATTGTTGGTAAATCGAATCAACGAGATATGGATGCCTTGGAATTGCAAGCTGCCCTGGTGAAGTTGGATCCGGCGACTACGGTTACCCCGATCACTTCAAATGTCAAACTGATGTCTAATCATCGGATTACCTTTGTCGTCGACGTAGACGGTGATGATTTAACTCTAAGAAGAAATACTTTGGAAATCGATGAAAAACAGTTAAACGTTGGTAGTAGTGGTGGTGGTAATTGCTCGTCAAGTATTGAACATCAACAAAGTTCATCTACTATTACAACTAATACTAATACTATCTCGACCAATGGTACGAGGAAACTTCAAAACGCGAATTGTGGTGGCGCCAGCCTGCTGACGGCTACAACTACTACTACTACTACTACAACTACCCATCAGAATCATCAAACCAGCCAACAACAGATGGGGGTGTCCAAGTGTAATCTCGTCGAGGTCAGGTGACGCCAGCCCTGCTTCGGCGTTAACATGATTTATCACACCTATCCGCCGCACCGGGGTAGCAAACACCACGGTAAACATCATGCGAAGGAGAAGAGACATCATCATCATACTATGCATCATCAGCATCATAGATCTCATGTGGTAAGTCCCTCCCCACCACACACATCTATTGTCTTCGTGATCAATACAACGATTCTTCAATGTACCGACAAAGATTAGTATTATTATTATTATTATTCTTTAGATTCTAATTCTATTAAAATCAATGTACATTTTCTATCAAGGACATTAAACGTACAATGATGATGATGATGATGATACCAGATGTCTAACAGATTGATCACTATCTCTTTGATATTTCTCGTGACGAATAATCATCGTTCTTAGAAAATGCCATTTATTGCAACATGATCTAATCGGTTTTGTTTAGAGAATAAAAATTGAAATGGGAAAAGAAAGAAAAGAAAAGAAACTTTGTTGTATTGGATTATAAGATTTCTATATACCATAAAAAAACCAACCCCCATATATTTATATATATTGGGTTGTTCGTTATTGTTTCCTGTCACAATAAAGGCATTAGTTGATGCAAACCGGCAAATAGCAACACGTGAGATCGGTGAAAGGTTTTATCGAATTGAACAATTTATGTCCATTTGAAAGGCCTGAGTTTAACCTAAAAAGAGGAAGAATGTTTTCTCAGTTTTATAATTCAAGTCATGAGAGGAAAAAAATGTTCCTAGTGAAAGATTTTTAGATCTTCTAGTGAAAGATTTTAGGGATTCATTTCATTATTCGTTTTGATTCGAATCTAATGTTACATCCAGGTTTAAGAGTCTGTTCTTAAGAATATTGTACAAATGTGTATTACCAAGTCAACGAATAATGCAATATGCGTTCTCCTTCTCCTTCTCAGTTGCATTTCACTGCAGCAATTGCAACAGCATCACTATCACTACCACTGCTATCATATTATACCCCTATTGCACATAATTCAAGATGTAGAGAGGGACGAACATGTTTCATGACAATATATAATATTTAAACGTATGTGTTTGTATGTATATATGTATATATGTGTGTATCTAATCTATGTATGTGCATGTATCTCAAGGGATAAGAGGTCTCGCAGTTAACCTAGGTATAATCGGTCCATCGCAGCATCCGAGTATCATTCGAGATCACTAACGTTAATAGATGCAGTATTCAGTATTCCCTTTTCTCCACCCTCCCCACCGCCTAACTTTTTCTCTCTCTTTATGGTTTCAAGTGTAGATGCAACATATCTGCATGTAAAAGTAGTCAAACGAATTGTTGAACGATTAAATGTAACATTTTGTTATCGTTTTGTTAATCGAATGTTTTTTTTTTCTTTTTCAATTAAATTTCTCTCTGGATAATAAATGTTTTCAAATTGGTTAGATAGAAAATTATTAAATAATATATTTTTTCCTTTATAATATTTATTATGATTGAATGGTTTATTGGATATTTTTTCTCTCTCTCTCTCTCTCTTTTTCATATAATCACTTTGTGTATTTGTCGTGTGGAATTATAAAGGGAGTTAATCAATTTATTTTTAACATTTCTCTCGATAATATAATATAATATACCTGTTGTTGTTTTTTTTTTTTTTTCAATGAAAATTATTATTTAAACGCATTGTGTTGTATCGTGTTTACATGGTAAATGCGAATTATCGGGAGGGAGAGGGTGGGAATAAAAAATACCATGCATTTTCGTGGTGAAGCGTTGGTTTAGAAATGATTCACTTTTGAGTCATTCACGTGTATGCACATCGGTTATTGTAAAGTCACACCAACCCACCCCCCCTCACCCTAAATCATGTAAAAAAAAAATTCTATTCAACGATCACGTTACAAGCTTGGAAAATTAGAGATTATCAAATTATCGTGAAATCTATTAAAACAAAATATAGAAGAATAACGTTTGTCTAAAAAGTATAGTTTTAATTTGAATGGATTTTATTGGATTTTTCTATTTGCATAAATTTGCAATTTAAAATTGTGAAACGTAACGAATATATGAAACGTCACTCGTTATCTAAAATTATATTTAAATAGATTATATATATATTATATATGTATGTGCTATATATGCATGATTGTTGCTAACACAAACCATTCAAAATTTATAAACTCGAGGTGTAGTTTAATTTTGCGATAATTTAATTTTTTTTATTAATATTTAATAATTAACAAATTGTATTTAATAAATTATTAATAATATTTAATAGATAAATTTGGTTTATAATAAATTATTAATAATATTTAATATAAATTAGGTTTATAATAAATTATTAATAATATTTAATAAATTTAATAATTTTAAATTACTAATAATATTTAACAAATTTAATAATTGTTTATTATTTTATATATATATATATATTTTTGTCTAAGACAAAACTCAGACAAAAAATCACATCGAATAGTTGATGAGGAAAAAGGTGAAAGGAGAGAAAAGATGACAAGAAGAAAAGGGAGAGGGAGTTGGTTGGTTGGGTCATCCATCGCTAACCTAACCTAAAAAAAAAAAGAGTTTTTGTTCGATACGAAGAACCGGACGAAGAAGAACGAACGATGAAACGTACGAACGAGCGAACGCTATGTTACGCGAAACTCGTTTGCCGAAGCACGTATGGCACGTTCTCTAAGGGCGTGTTGAATAAATTTTCTTATGACTGCGTTTCCGAGTCACGCACCCTTGAGCGACATACAAGCGACGCACAACGAGATCGTGTCCGAGAGATGCATCTAACGCTTGCACATCAAACTCCTCCTCCTCCTCCTTCTCATTCCTCATTTTTTCTTTTTATTTTCTCTCTTTCTTTCTTCTTCATCTTGTTCTCCTTGTTTTTTCTTCCTTGTGTTTGTAATCTCAACTCTTACAGTTCCCTTAGAGAGAATGAGAAAGAAAGATACGTAACATAACCTATAACATATAATATACTTGTCCCGTTCGTACATGAAAGACGATGCAATATATAAACCGATAAAGAGACTCGTTTCTTTTTCTTTTTTTTTTTTTTTTTGAATCCATAGAAGTCAGCTCGTTAAGAGATGATAAATGCGGTCACGCTAACGCTAATTTTTATTCTTTCTCTCTTTTTACGCTTATATAGTTAGTTTTAAAATGAAAATCATCTCTTTGTTCAAATCTTTCCATAATAATAATAATAGTAATAATAATTATTCGATCAGTCGTTTATTTAAACATCGTAATATACAATCGTATTTGTATTATTATAATAATATCCTATAATAAATTCATTTCAATAGACAGATAGAATTGACGAGTAAAGAAAGAGGTTATTTGTATATTTGAAAGGTTTACTTTAAATATTCCCTAGAGAGATAGAGATAGAGAGAGAGAGAGAGAAAGGTTTTTCTCTTTATTCGAATAATCGAGAATCGAATATATATATACGATGAAATGAATAAAGCCGTCGGAGAATGATGATCGGTATCTGGCACGACGTTGACGCATGCGAGTAACTCTAGACGCCCCGATCGAGACTACCGATTCCAGGTCTAAGAACGAGAGGAATAACTCGGCATAAATTATGCCAGTCTAAAAAGAGCTACGAATGAGAGAAACAGAGAAAGAGAAAGAGAGAAAACCAAACGTGCAACCATCTTTACAAGATTATCGATGCAACGAGAGTCAAACATTTTTCTTTCTTTTTGTTGTTCCTTTTTTTATTTATCAACGTAACCGTACCAACTCCTAGATTCAACTATTAACTGTGAATATATCGAACAATCGAAGTATCGAACTTCGATATATCGATCTATCGAACTATCGATATATCGAAATTCGATATATCGAT